TCAGGTCGATTGGCAAAACCGTCTGGGATGACTTCGCAAAAATAATTTTTAGAGAAAAGTGATAAAAAGTAATATAATTTGACATTTTTAGAGCAGAAGCCCATTTGAGCAAAGATGCAGATGAATCCAGAGATTCAAACAATGAAAGAAGTTCGACTCTAAATGAAGCCGTTTTTTGAGATAACCACCATGAGTTCTATGAGGGCCATTTTTTGCCTGAGTAGTGGATGGAATTTGCAGCCTACGTGCCAATTTTGCTGCGTTTTCGTCCAGCAGGTTTTGCTGGACGAAAGAAAGCGGAGAAAAAGAAGTGGAGAAAAGGAAGAAGAAAGAAAGACAGAAAGAAAAAAAAGAAGGAAGAAAAATAAGAAGTTGCTGGAGCCCCTAAATATATCTATCTACAAAACCTGAGAAAGCAGAGAGTGACCAGTCGAGAAATTACTTTCTGCTTTCTCAGATGACGACATCTGTTGTCCTGTGTCAGCCACCATAGCTATCCTACGGGTTTGCGGGAAAGGGAGCAGACTAACCCCGGACTCACACAGGTGCATAGTTAAATTGTTTCCTTTTTGGTCTGTTTTAACTGTGTACTCGGCACAAGCTATTTTATTTTGAAAATCGACTGGATTCTCTTTCTGTGTCTGTGTCCTGCCCGGCTCATCTGCTCTGTGCTCCTTAACACATCTTCCGTCAATAATAGACCGGCTGCCTATTCTCCGCGCCACGGAGCGGAGAGCCGCTTCTGGGAAGTGGTGCGGCGCTTCTAGTGTGAGCACTATGGCGGGTGGATAGTGTCAGAGCGAGGATTACCAGGAGAAGGAGAAGGAGCAGTCTACCCTGCCGTCGCCGCCAGGCCGTGTGGATTTTTGAATGGAAGTGATTGGGACTGCAGACGGGAGACCGGCGGCGACTTGGCGGCGAGTGCATGGAATCAACGTCTTCTGGCGGCGACGTCACGGCGGCGTATGTTAGAATTCCTGTATAAATATACGCCTATGGCGGGTGGATTGTGCCACGGATAACCTACCAAAGGAGACCGTTGTGTGACAGCTACGTGTGTGGATAGGCTACTCCGTCGCCAGTGAACAACGTCGTTGATAAGCCCGTCGCCGTCAGGCTTGTTTTTTCCCCTCAAACTTGTTCTTCTCTTTTCTTTTTTTTATTGGCGGTTGGCAAACTAGCCGAGAGGTGCATTAGCGCCACCAACTGGACTGGAGTGTGGAGCCAGAGATTATTTTCAATACAAGGAGAACAGGCCTACATGCTCCAGCCTTTTTGTCATTAAAAGTGTTGCTGTAAAATTAAATTTTACACAGAAATTTAAAAGGAGGGTAATCTAATGGATATAATATTTATCAGAGATATTAATCAACTTAATTTTGTAAGTTATGTCAGCTGAGAAGTTTACAGCAGAAACTTGAAAAACTCAATTGTGGGGTTTACTTAATTAAATATTACATTGAGTGTGTTTTTACATTTATTCATTAATAAACTATAGCTCTAACTTCAAAAATATAACTGGTAATATTTGTAATTTAATTGAGTAGCCTATAGGCCATGAAATTATGCTATATTGTTGTATTATAGATATCAGGGACAACTTGAAGTTCTAGCTTCCCATCTTTAATTTTTTTAACTGGCATGATGTTTACTTTTGGGTCTATTCTGTAGATTAAAATTGTGCTTTTATCATTTACTTTGTGTACCCAACTGTCATTTATAATAAAAAAATATTATAAATATTATAATTATATTATAATTTATAATAAAAATAAAAAATAGACCAACACCAAGCTACATGTTTTATTTACATCAATGTTTTCCTCATATTTGATACTGCCATAAATGTTTTGTTTTTCAACAGTTAACCATTTTAAAAACACAGCTTGAGAGGCAGTTTAATTGAGTCACGGTGGCGCTGCAAATTCAAACATAAGAACCAATCAAAAGCATCAGAACAGCAACAAACTTTACTAAACAACTGTGGTTGGAAATGGCAAAGGAAGACAATGTGCACATGAAATACACGCAAAGCAACAAAATGAATATATTCAACATATAGCCAAGCTTTTTAAAGAAAATATTCAGATGGCATCTTAAGTATTTTCATAAGAAATTGTGATTTAATTACATATTTACCAGTCGGCCTAACTGTAACAGAGAACACTTACATTTACGTTTGTCTACAGTTAAACATTAAATGATGTTCTTGGTATAGAATCATGGGAGCTTTATATTTATATGAGCATTAACAATAAGCTATGCAGAGTGGGAAATTACGTTTGAATCATTGTATAATAGTATGCTGGTTTCTCTTATCCCATTCGCTTCCCCACAATGTGAAAATGGTCGTATTAGGCCTACAGTTACTTATAAAATGAATCATTGAAGTTGCTGTTTCATGCTTATTCAGTTTATATTATTTGTTATAGGCATTTGCCTTTGGTTATTTTATTGGCAATGTATTTTAAATGTATATTTCTGCATAATGATTTGGATTATTTTGATCATGCTAATGCGTTACTAATCAATGTAATCCTAAAGGAGTTATAAGATACTATGTTGCCTTATGTCTGCATTTTTTTTAGCAATTACATTGATGTTGAAGTACAAAACACCAAATTTAAAATCTTAAGACCCTCAGTGAAGTTCTTCATTTTCCATCGGGATGCTACACTAACAGAAACCAGCATACTATTATACAATGATTCAAACGTAATTTCCCACTCTGCATAGCTTATTGTTAATGCTCATATAAATATAAAGCTCCCATGATTCTATACCAAGAACATCATTTAATGTTTAACTGTAGACAAACGTAAATGTAAGTGTTCTCTGTTACAGTTAGGCCGACTGGTAAAATATGTAATTAAATCACAATTTCTTATGAAAATACTTAAGATGCCATCTGAATATTTTCTTTAAAAAGCTTGGCTATATGTTGAATAATATTCATTTTGTTGCTTTGCGTGTATTTCATGTGCACATTGTCTTCCTTTGCCATTTCCAACCACAGTTGTTTAGTAAAGTTTGTTGCTGTTCTGATGCTTTTGATTGGTTCTTATGTTTGAATTTGCAGCGCCACCGTGACTCAATTAAACTGCCTCTCAAGCTGTGTTTTTAAAATGGTTAACTGTTGAAAAACAAAACATTTATGGCAGCATCAAATATGAGGAAAACATTGATGTAAATAAAACATGTAGCTTGGTGTTGGTCTATTTTTTATTTTTATTATAAATTATAATATAATTATAATATTTATAATATTTTTTTATTATAAATGACAGTTGGGTACACAAAGTAAATGATAAAAGCACAATTTTAATCTACAGAATAGACCCAAAAGTAAACATCATGCCAGTTAAAAAAATTAAAGATGGGAGGCTAGAACTTCAAGTTGTCCCTGATATCTATAATACAACAATATAGCATAATTTCATGGCCTATAGGCTACTCAATTAAATTACAAATATTACCAGTTATATTTTTGAAGTTAGAGCTATAGTTTATTAATGAATAAATGTAAAAACACACTCAATGTAATATTTAATTAAGTAAACCCCACAATTGAGTTTTTCAAGTTTCTGCTGTAAACTTCTCAGCTGACATAACTTACAAAATTAAGTTGATTAATATCTCTGATAAATATTATATCCATTAGATTACCCTCCTTTTAAATTTCTGTGTAAAATTTAATTTTACAGCAACACTTTTAATGACAAAAAGGCTGGAGCATGTAGGCCTGTTCTCCTTGTATTGAAAATAATCTCTGGCTCCACACTCCAGTCCAGTTGGTGGCGCTAATGCACCTCTCGGCTAGTTTGCCAACCGCCAATAAAAAAAAGAAAAGAGAAGAACAAGTTTGAGGGGAAAAAAACAAACCTGACGGCGACGGGCTTATCAACGACGTTGTTCACTGGCGACGGAGTAGCCTATCCACACACTTAGCTGTCACACGACGGTCTCCTTTGGTAGGTTATCCGTGGCACAATCCACCCGCCATAGAGCACAAGCATTGACTACAACGGCAGCGATTAGGTACGGCAGCCGTAACCCGGTGTACACGCCGCCTGTGTGAGTCCAGGGTAAGCCTGTTGGTTGCAATTCACAACCTCATCACTAGATGGCACAAAACATCTACACACTGAACATTTAACAGGGATATAGGTGGAAAATGTTAAAGGAAGCAGGAAAGTAAAAATCCTCTCATTCACTCCTCTTAATCATTCATCGTTCAAACATGCTGCTCAGTTACAGCTCTTTTCTTGGCTATATTAGAGTCAGGGGAGCCAATAAATGAGCATCCAATGAGCACCAATCCAGCATCCGTGACCAATCACATGCTGGGATTAAAAATAAAAAAGAGCGCAAAATATGAACCAGTTGTGGCACCATGTGGTTCATTAATATCAGTGTGTTTGTCGTAGCTCCACTAAAATCAATATGTTAGTCAACACTAACACATTGATGTACTTAGAGGGGAAACATCTTTTAATGCAGGAAACTACTGCTTCATCCCTGAGATTTGCTAAATCACAGCAAAAACCTGTAAAACAGTAAAAGAGAACATCAGTGGTCCTGAAGAAGAACAGAGATCATCAACACAATGGTGATGGTATCTGTTGCTGACAATGCTGGAGCTTGTTGGATCACATCATTATAGCTGAGTTTCCTTTTTACTGAGTCCATAGATAACTGATGAAAACAGCTTCAAAGGAACAAACTTGGTGCTCGATGGAGGAAACACGTATCAGCTCATGGGAGATGAGCAGGAATCTGTGGGAGCGTTGCTAGGGGGGGTTGATCTGCACAGAACTCTGGGTAATGTAGGAATAAACACATTGGGCTGCATGGAATAAAACAGCATGTCATCTATAAAACTAAATACAGTGATACATGTTTATGTGGACTGATCACCTGAACACTTTACCTTCACCTTCAAACTAACAGTGAGTTTCCAGAAATGTCCACTGAAGTCATGTGAAGTACAATTCATTTACCTGAGCTGTGAGATATAAGGCAGACACTGTAGGAAACTCCTCACTTCACTCTCTTCACCTGAGCAGCCTGTCAGCTCCACTGGTTTCTTCTCTGGTTGGAGTTTCAGCACTTCCAGGAGGATGGAGGTCTTTCTCTCTGAGAGGTCTATGGACCAGACTGCAGGAGCTGACTGGAAAACTGACTGTAATGTTGGAAGGACCCTCAAGCCTGCTTTAGTCTCATAGTCCTTCAGGTGGGAGCACAGATCCAGCAGGAAACCACTCTGATATTTGTGTTCATCATCATCCATGTGTCTCTCTTTAAGAGGGAATGTCTGATATCTGCACACCGATGATAACAGCTCCAGTATCTTCTCTCTTGTCTGCTGTTCTCTCTCTGCTGCTGCACAGAACAGATTCCCAAAGAACTTTGTTTCTTCTGAAGGTTTTGATGACTGAGGCACGAAACTAAAATCAGGATTAAAACACACGTGATTTACAGTTTTTATCAAATTGAAGTTAAACTTTTCTGTGTGAACTTTAGTATGAAATTGTTATTTTCAGAAAAGACTTCAGACAAATCAAAATAGATCAAGGCAGCTTCTAAAAACAGAAATAATTAAAGCTGCAAGCATCATTGGGCGAGCCCTCGCACTTGTAGCGCGTCCGCGCGTGAGCCGGCCGATTTGCATATTCTGGAGCTCTGCCGGTGCGGCTGTGAATTTGCTACGCGGTTCCGACGCCGCATGAAGGTGTTATATGTCACTTCCTGTGTCCCCTATGTGGAGCTACATAGCACTTGCCGCTATGAATATAAATCGGTATTGGTGTGTAGATGTCTGTGGGGTGGGAGAGTTATCAAGCACGTAAAGTTTGTTTCAGATGTGAGCATGTACACTGAACAATAATGTACACAAACAATAAAATAAATTCCTTTTATATTTCCCTGCCTTGTTGTTTATGTGTACATACAGAGGAAGAATGTGAGAACAGCACACATTTCATCGTTACTGTGTGTTAGAGCATGGGAGAACAGTGGATACTTTTAATACAGCCCACACCCCTAATACTGTGTAACTATAACAAGTAGAGAACAGAAGAAAAAGATGTTCTTTCTTTACAACTGTCTGCATAGCTTATTCATATTGTGTAATGAATGAAAATAAATAGGCCTACTAGGCTCCTCTCTACTTTGACATTTAAGATTAGCTTGTTTGATCCGCCTTCATACACATGTGACATTACTGTACAACTTGAGAAAGGTGAGTTGTTTTCTGCTCCAGCCTGCCTAAAAGAAATGCGTTTTTGGGATTAAATGGACTTTATTAGCTGCTGCAGTGCAGGATGAACTCAGAATAGACCCATTTCTCACCTTATTATTCTAAATCATGCAACGAAGAAGAAGAAATGCATAATAAATCCTGGGACAAAATCTGTCCACAAATACTGTACAGCATGTATACTGATGAACAAGACTTGTGTTATAGCTGACTTGGGCAGTGAAATGTTTTTTAATTCATGTGGTCATAGTTGTCCACAACTCAAATCAGAATATAAGAAGAAATGTTTTATACCACCTCAAGAAGGCTTCCTATCAGAAAGGTAGGAAGGTATTTCAAATGTACAACTGCAGTACTTAAATCTAAGTAAAGTAATTCCCTGACATTACTGTGTTACGCATGTAACAGGTTTTATACTTCCTGTGAGTATAATCCAATCAATCTTATTTTCATACTGTATATCCGTTGTAATTTGATAAATTGTGTTGTATGTGGTGCTCGCATCGGGTACTACTGACACTTCATGGCCCTCTTCAGAGAAGACTCTGACTGAAACATGCGTCTTTGTAAAGAGAGAAACAGACTAAAAAGTCTCTAACTCTGCCTGTCAGCTCGCTCTGCTCCGTTAAAAGAAATGCATACAGAAATTTAAAAAGGACAGGAAGAAATAAATACCATGGGTGAAAATAAATAAGGTAGTAAAATACAAAGGAAGAATAAAACAGACAAAAATATTAAACACACACATAAATAAATATATTTAAAAAATTAGTAATAATTAAGTTGAAGATTATAACGGAGAATAAACAAATAAGGTAATTATAACAAAGGTGAATAGTAAAGGCACTAATTAAAATATATACATTTATGTCTCCTTGTATAATTTAATTACTACCTACATTTATTTATTTACTTTATTTTTTTGTGTATTTAATTGGATGCTTATTTATTTATTGAGCATTTATTTATTTCTGTATTTATTTCTGACTGTGTCAGGATCGGTCCTCCATAGTGGGGTGGGAGAGTTATCAAGCACGTAAAGTTTGGTTCAGATGTGAGCATGTACACTGAAGTTACAACAACTTCCTGTGTCATGGCGAAGACTTGATCTCTGACGCCACGCCACGGACACGCCCATTGACGAAAACTCGCAAATAGCACAACTTTTCATCTTCAATGCCTTTAGAAGGCACAGCACAAATTTGAGGTCGGTCGGACTAAATCCTAGGAGGAGTTCGTTATAGTACGAAGTGTGTAAATCATCCAAAATTTGACGTAAAATTCAAAATGGCCGACTTCCTGTTGATTTTAGGGCATCGCTCCAAGAGGCTTTTTTGTGCGTCTGGACAAGATACACGTACCACAGAAAATTCGTGCACGTAGGTGAAACGTGCGGCGGGGGCTGCTTCGTTAAAAGTCACTTCCTGTTGCCAGCAGGTGGCGCTATGACTGTGGGTGAATGTCGGCATGTACATGTGTTCAGGGCGGGACTCTCATCCTACATGTACAGTTTGGTCCAGATGTGAGCATGTACACTGAAGTTACGACAACTTCCGTGTCATGGCGAAGAGTGATCTTTGACGCCACGCCACGGACACGCCCATTGACGAAAACTTGCAAATAGCACAACTTTTCATCTTCAATGCCTTTAGAAGGCACAGCAAACATTTGAGGTCGGTCGGACTAAATCCCTAGGAGGAGTTCGTTAAAGTACGAAGTGTGTAAATCATCCAAAATTTGACGTAAACTTCAAAATGGCCGACTTCCTGTTGGGTTTAGGCTATGGCTCCAAGAGACTTTTTTGTGCGTCTGGACAAGATACACGTACCACAGAAAATTCGTGCACGTAGGTGAAACGTGCGGCGGGGGCTGCTTCGTTAAAGGTCACTTTCTGTTGCCAGCAGGTGGCGCTATGACTGTGGGTGAATGTCGGCATGTACATGTGTTCAGGGCGGGACTCTCATCCTACATGTACACTTTGGTCCAGATGTGAGCATGTACACTGAAGTTACAACAACTTCCTGTTTCATAGCGAATCATCGACGCCACGGACACGCCCATTGACGAAAACGCGCAAATAGCACAACTTTTCATCGTCAATGCCTTAGAAGGCACAGCAGAAATTTGACGTCGATCTGACTAAATCCCTAGGAGGAGTTCGTTAAAGTACGAAGTGTGTAAATCATCCAAAAATGGCCGTAAAATTCAAAATGGCCGACTTCCTGTTGACTTTAGGCTATGGGTTCTTGAGGCTTTTTTGTGCGTCTTGATATGGTACATGTCCCCAGAAAATTTCGTACATGTAGGTTGAACGTGAACGAGGGGCTAATTTTTTCCAATTTTCTAGGTGGCGCTAGCGAGTCATTTTGCAACGCCCATGTGCGAAACTTGTAGAATACGAAATTTTTCACGGTTCTGACATGTTTGCAAATTTTGGTGAGTTTTCGAGAATGTTTAGGCCATGTCAGTTGAGCCTACTTTGCAGAAAAAAGAAAAAAAATATATATATATATATATATATATATATATATATATAATATATATATATATATATATATATATATATATATATATATATAATCCGAGCAAATTCAATAGGGACCTCACACGGTCGTGCTCGGGCCCTAAATATATAATCCGAGCAAATTCAATAGGGACCTCGCACGGTCGTGCTCGGGCCCTAATAATCCGAGCAAATTCAATAGGGACCTCACACGGTCGTGCTCGGGCCCTAAATATATAATCCGAGCAAATTCAATAGGGACCTCACACGGTCGTGCTCGGGCCCTAAAAAAAATATAATAATCCGAGCAAATTCAATAGGGACCTCACACGGTCGTGCTCGGGCCCTAAATATATAATCTTAGCAAATTCAATAGGGACCTCGCTAAGTCGTGCTCGGGACCTAATTAACAAAATAATGAGCATTTACCTGAGCTGTGAGATATAAGGCAGACACTGTAGGAAACTCCTCACTTCAATCTCTTCATCTGAGCAGTCTCTCAGCTCCACTGGTTTCTTATCTGGTTGGAGTTTCAGCACTTCCAGGAGAATGGAGGTCTTTCTCTCTAAGAGGTTTATGGACCAGACTGCAGGAGCTGACTGGAAAAGTGGCCTCAGTTTTGGAATGACACCTGAACACCCTTTACTCTTGACGTGTTGGTAAAAATCAAGAAGGATGTTATGTAAGTCAGTGTTCACAGAAAACAATGAGAGAAGTTTGTTCACTACTCTGTGAAAACTGTCTCTTTTGTGAAGCGCTGCTCCCAGGCAGAAATCCAGTAACAGCTCCTTTTCTTCCCTCTCCAGTATCCCCTGGCTTTGCTGCTGGTCCTGTAATCCTGGACTTCTGTAGGTCCTCCTGAAGCTGCATGACAACAAACACATGGATGTAAATGTAAATGCTCCGTACTTGTATAGCGCCTTTCTAGTCTTTTCGACTACTCAAAGCGCTTTTACACTACATGTAAAAAACATGTAGGCATTCACCAGTCACACACATTCATACACTGAGCCTAAGTGCTCAAACGGAAACTAACATTCACACTCACTCATACACTGGCGGAAAAGCCGCCAGGGGCAATTCGGGGTTCAGTATCTTGCCCAAGGACACTTCGACACGCAACCAGGGGGAGCCAGGGATTGAACCGCCGACCTTCCGATTAACGGCCAACCCGCTCTACCTCCTGAGCCACAGCCACCCCATATGGATCAAACAGTGCAAGTACTGTAAATCTGTATTTAATTTAAATCTAAACACATACAGTTCTAAACATATTTTATGTTAACACTCTGGAGACTGTGATAATGAAGAGTAATTCCAATCTTTATTTTTCAAGAATTAAGTGGAAACCGGATGCAACACAAGAGATCAAAGTTCAGATTCATCGTACAAAATAATAATAATAATTAAAGCTGCAAGCAGCGTTGGGTGGGCCCTCGCACTTGTAGCGTGTCTGGGTGTGAG